AGAGACCTAAAGACAAATGTGCAGAAAATCAAGAAATGATATATGAACAAAATGGAAATATCAATAAAGAGAGAGAAAACTTGAAACCAAAGAGACCTGGAAAGTATGATAACAAATGACAAAAATCCACTAGAGGGGTTCAGAGGCAGATTTGAGCAGGCAGAAGAAAGAATTAGGAAACTTGAAGAAAATGAAAATTATTGAGTCTAAGGAACAGAAAGAAAAAAGATTGCAGAAAATGGAACAGAGCCTAAGGGACCTGAGGGATGCCATCAAGTTGGCCAACATATGCGTTGTGGGAGTCCCAAAAGGAGAAGAGAGAGAAGGGGGCAGAGAGAATATTTGAAGAAATAATGGTTTGTAACTCCACATTTTCTTTTTTATATAATTTTAGAGACCAATACATTAAAAAATTAGTAGTTTATGTTTTGGGGCATACAATGTGTAAATATGTAATTCTGGGGGCACCTGGCTGGTTCAGTTGGTTAGGCGTCCGACTTTGGCTTGGGTCATGATCTTGTGGTTTGTGGGTTTGACCTCCATGTTGGGCTTTGTGCTGACAGCTAGGAGCCTGGAACCTGCTTTGGATTCTGTGTCTCCCTCTCTCTCTTGACCCCTTCCCCATTTATGCTCTGTCTGTCTTTCTCAAAAAAAAACCCAAAAACCACACATTAAAAAATATGTAATTCTGTGACAGCAACAAATGAAAGGGATAAAGACAGAGTTTTTTTTTTTTTATTTTAAAGTTTATTTATTTTGAGAGAGAGAGTATGACAGAGCACATGAGTGGGGGAGGGACAGAGAAAGAGAGAATCCCAAGCAGGCTTCACACTGTTAGTGAAGAGTCTGATGTGGGGCTTGATCCTATGAACAATGAGATCATGACCTGAGCCAAAAATCAAGATTTGGCTGCTTAACTGACTGAGCCATCCAGGTGCTTCAGACAAAATAGACTTTAAATCAAAAAAGTGTACAAGAGACATAGAAGGATATTGTATATTAATACAAGCTTCAATAGAGCAAGAAGATACAACATTTACACACCTAATAACAGCCCATCAAAATATGTGAAGTGAAAGGGACAAAATTGAATGGAGAAATAGACAGTTCTACAATAATAACTAGGAAAGTTGATTACCCCACTTTCAATAATGGATAGAACAATCAGACCAAAGATAAACAAGTAAATAGATCTCTTGAACAACAAAATAAACCAGCTGGATCTAACAGATATATACAGAACACCCTAACCAACAACAGCATACATATTCTTCTCAAGTGCACATGGGACATTTTCCAAGATAGACTATATGTTAAGCCACAAACTAATATATCAATATATTTAAAAAGATATCATACAAAGTATCTTCTTTGACCACAAAGGGATGAAAGTTAGTAATCAATAACAAGGACAATTGAAAATTTACAAGTTTGTGGAAATTAAAGAACACACACTATCGATCAAAGAAATCCCAGGGAAATTAGAAAATACCTAAGACAAAAACAAAACCACAAGGTACCAAAAATTATAGGATATGGCAAAAGCAGTGCTAAAGGGAAAATTTATAGCTATAAATGCTTATGTTAAAAAACAAGAAACCGGGGTGCCTGGGTGGCTCAGCTGGTTAAGCATCCAACTTCCGCTCAGGTCATGATCTTGCAGTTCATGAGTTCAAGCCCCACGCCAGGCTCTGTGCTGACAGCTCAAAATCTGGATCCTGCTTTGGATTCTGTGTCTCCCTCTCTCTCTGTTCTTCACCCACTTACACTCTGTCTTGCTGTCTCTCTCTCTCTCAAAAATAAATAAAGAATAAGAAAAATTAAAAAAAAAAAAACAAGAAAAATCTCAAATCAGCAACCTAACTTCACAACTTAAGGGACTAGAAAAAGAACAAACTAGTTCCAAAGCTAGCAGATGGAAGGAAATAAACATAAGAGCAGAGACCAG